ATGTGGTTCCTTCAGCCCAAAACTCTGACTGCCTCGGGATAGCTTCATGTGGCTTCTCCTCAGAAATGTCTCAAAGGGAGTGAGCTGAGAGAAAGAGTCTCCCACCTCTAAGGAGGAAAAATACAGGAGTTCCCAGAATCCTCAGGAGACGGCCATGCCCACACAGAGATCTCATTGGCTATGACCCAATTGACAGACTAGACTCCACCCCTTCACTCTTAATCCTCTCAAGTCCTCAAATGACACTAGATTATGTAACAACCAAACCGTGCCACCAACAAAAAACAGCCAACAAGCACTCACTGACATTGAATTGATTCTGACAACATAGTGTTTAATTCAATACTTTGCACATTGTGAGTGTGTGTGTGTGTGTGTGTGTGTGTGTTCAGTTTTGTTTGGTACACTTATTGAGCACTGGCTATCAGAAAAGCACTAGACTACCCAATTTAAGGACTGGGAGAATGAGATATAAAATAACTAAAAGACATTCCCTGTATTCACGGGAGCTTTTAATCTAATCAGTGAGACATATTCACAAATGAATGAACTGCGGGGGTGGAATTGGGTGGAGGGGAAGTGTTGCCTGTGGAAGGAAATATTCTTGGTGTTCTGAATTAGAATATCTGTGTTACAACATGGAGGGTGGGGCAGGGGGAAGGGGTGGAGGTAAGGAAAGGGCAAAGTTCCTTTTAGATCCCAACCCTGGGCAAGGGTCATTATTGTAGTCATGTCTGCATCTGGCCAATCCAGTCCATCCTTCCCCAAATACCAGAGCAATCTCCCTAAAGCAAGATTCCCATCCTTTAACTCTCTGTTCACATGTTAGCTACTGAGTGAATTAAACAGCAGCCAATTACAGGCTCGTGGGAGGAGTTGTGGAGTATGCCAGTTTGAAGAGATAAGAGAAACTCCAAGAAACAAGTGAAGAACAAAAGCAAATGCGTGCTGTGGAAGTGCTGGGGGAACAGGGGAAGGAGGGGCCAAGGAAGTGGGCTGTCAGTATGGGTTGGGATTCATCATGCAGGGCTCACAGGACACAGCAAGGCGTGAGTGGATGAAAAAATCAGATGTACCATGGCAAGAAAAAAATCAGATGTACCATGCAGTTTACAGTTCTTTCCAATTCTGAGACCCTGCTATTCTATCAAAGGAGCCCTGGTGTTTTGGTGGATCGCATATTGAACTGCTAACCACAAGGTTAGCTGTTCAAAATCACCAGGAGAAAGATGACGCTTTCTGCTTCTGTCAAGATGCGTCGCCTTAGAAACCCACAGGGGCAGTTGGACTGTGTCTTCTAGGTTAGCTATGAGTCCGAAGTGACTCAGTCACAGCGCGTTACGCTCTGAAGAGGACTTTGCCCATCCATTGATTAAAAATGCATGGGAGAAACTTAAGAAAAATAAAAAGCCCAGTAAGTCTTTATTGAGTGCTTCCTGTGCACCAGGAACGTGGGTGGACTCTGGACATGTGGCAGTGAATAAGACATCGCACTCAGAACCTTACAGTGAAGATGGCTGGTGCTCACTGTTTGCACGCAATGAAGTGTGACGCGTCTGGGGATGGGGAAGTGCAAAGGGCTGTCAGAGCACAGATCTGTGTACTTGCAGGAGCACCAGGACAATGGCCGTGGAGGTGAAGCTTCAGCTAAGACACAGAGGCTGCTTAGGAGTTAGGCCAACAAAGGGGCCTGCATATTCCAGGTAGAAGAACAGGACATGCAGCGGTGTGGAGTTAGAGGGATGTTAACAAGTCTATGGAGCTGGAAGACATTGAGAAAGGCTACGGTGTGGAGCATCAGGAGTTGCTAGGGTGACAATCTAAAAGATGAATGGTGGGAGCTGTCGGCTTTGGGGAACTAAAACTGAAGTACGGGGCACAGTGCATCTGGCTTATGAAGTACTTCCATGCCCACTTTAAGAAGTGGGTGAAGGCATGGAAGGATAGATGTGCTCTGTAAAGGACACGGTCTTCTTGACTCGGACTTGGGTTTTTGCTCAGGGAACAGCGCTACTTTGCAGTAGGAATCATCCCTTTAGGTTGGCCTAGGCCTTTGAACTCATGACCTCTGGGAGGCAGCACCCTACCCGTACTGGAGGCTTTCAGAATCATCAGGGTTTATCTCAGCTCTTTTTATGGAGGCAAAGAGCCTATTGCCACCCCTATCCACACACCCGGCAAATAATGTAACTCCTAACCCTTCCTGGAAAAAAACCACCTTTAGAGGTTCAAGGACTTGAGTATTTCCCACTGAGATGATCTGTTGCAATGTGTCCATGGACAAGGAAGCCCCAAGAGAGAAAGGTAGACTAAATGTTCTGGAAAGAGAGTCTGTCTGAAGTGGGTGAATAAGCAAATGTGGTGAAGAAAGCTGATGGTGCCCGGCTATCAAAAGATATAGC